TAAAATTTGAAACAGATATTACAGAAACAGCTCTAGTTCGTTCCTGAGTTGGAAACCATTTTGAGATTAAAGAGATAACACATGGATAACATACACCTTCACCAATTCCTAAACAAATCCTGCACAGTATAAGCATGTATAAGTTTATTCTGGCAGAAATTGGAGTAAGTAAAGTAAAGAACGCCCAGGTTGCGGCAGCTAGAAATAAATAGATAAATAGCTCAGAAATAACCAAATTAATTTAATTTATTATTAAGTGGTTATAATTTAAAATACTACTTACCTATACCTAATATCTGCTTACCACCGAATTTATCGGAAAGCGCACCACCTATAATCTGTGTCATACAATATCCAATATAAAATGATGACGAAATGAGGCCTTGTATCTTAGGACTCCAATTGAATTCCTCAGCCATATAAATTATGGCTATTGCCATATTTGATCGATCTGTCATGAAAACAATGAATAAATAATTATAAATAATTTAACGAACGAATTTGACAAGCTTTTTTTTTTAAAAAAAAAAAACCGAAAAATAAAATTTTAACACTGGAATATACCAGCATAACTGATCATAATGGCAAAAATACAAAGAATAATAATTATAATTCTCTTTGGGACATATTTAGATCGCCAGTTACTAAAATTTTTAAATGAATCAGAAGATAAAAGATAAAAAATAGTACACTTGGAAATAATAACCTACGTGAATATTGATGTCATAATGAATCTAGACCAAAAAGTTACGTATTAAGTGTTATTAATTTGCACAATAGTAATGAATCTAAAAGTTTAATTGATTCGCATAGTAGTTATGAATCTAAAGGGACATTGATTTCACAGTAGTTTATATAATTTTTATATAAGCGACTTTTTACGTTTAGTGGAACAAATAAACATGCATAATAAATCATTATAGTCAATGTACATGTATGTACGTACGTAAAGTACGTACGTACGTAGCAGATAGGCGATAGTGTATACGGACCTCATTTTTATACATATTGTCATTACTTTTTACTAAAACAAAATAATTTTCTTTACGTACTTTATTCAGCATCACAGTGATGATTTTGTTTACAATATCTTTGATGTGGTGTTTGTAGTCGATCCAAATTTATCGACTAGACTAAGTAAATATTTAAAAATCGGCTTAGCCGGCTAAGTTGTAGTCAATCATCCTAATTGGTTAATTAAAGCACATGATTTAAAATAAATATGATTGGTAATTACTCATACGTACGTACGTACGTACTGTACATTGTAGTCGATCATTATAGAGATGGGCAAAGTAATTTTGTAAGTAATAATGACCTATGACTTATCCCTTACTTAATATTAAGTAATATTAAA